TCCAGCCAGCTCTTTTAGTTATCCTTCGCTTGGGCTGACACTTTTTCTACAGGGTAATCAAAGCTTAGAGAGTATATTTGTTTGGCTGATAGGCATGTAACAGGTTGAAGGCAAGCAAAAAAAGTTAAAAATAAGCTGCTACATATCTTTATTCTAGCTATTTGCATTACTGATAGCTTCTAAAGTTTATTGGTTGAAAAGTCATAATCAAAAAAGGATACATATGTTAAGTTGTAACATAATATAATATTATTTGAATTTACTTTATTTGACCATTGATTTTTGTTGGAATTTATATATTTTTCAAATAAACGTTATGGTATTTTTTTTTAAATCTTTAGCAAGTACCAGGTAGCTTATCGTTGAGTAAAATAACTTTTTGATTGCATTTTGCTTTCGTTTCTCCATGTATCTTTTGGCTTCTTGTTACCTTCATTTCAGTTCTAAGGCACGCAAGCCAATAAGCTATAAGACCCAAAACGCTTAAGCTTTCAATTTTCGTAATGGCCGAATAGTGTGCGAAATTTCGATAGGTGTCTTTGAGCTGTCCCTTTTTTGGGCTGCTTGAATAAGCAACTGGAAACCAAAAAAGTATGCTATTTTTAGGCATATTTTTTAAGAAAATTAATCGATTACAAGGAGTTTATTGTCCTATTACAATTCTCACACATTTTTGGTCAATTCCTGGTGTCTTGAATATAATAAATCTGTAGCATTGTTGTATTTATAATGTATCTTAATCATTTTATAGTCACGCAGGACTCGTTTTGATCCCATAATACACTAAACTCACAAATCGATTAAGATAAATCTCTTGCTGACATGTATATTGATTTGGGTACGAGTCGCTATCAATTTGCTATTAAACGATGATTTATTTCAGCTATGCAAAGTGAAGTCTAACCTTCCCCCCAGGGCAGTGCAATCAAGAGGCAGATCCCACAAATCTGGATTCGTAATGTGCATATTTTAGCAATAAAACGCTGACACTGCTCCAGGCGCAAATTTACTGTCAAAGTAATTTGCATACATATTTTTTGTTGCTTGCTATTTTTGGTCGCCTTTATCGTTGGGGGCCAATTTCGCGAAATATTCGTTTAAAGCAAAATGGGGGAGTAAAGGGGACTATGTTGTCACCTTCAACCCCAGAATGCAAATGTACGAGGATGTCTATTGTCGTTGATATTTCGTCTTGCGTTGAGTGGCATAAATCTCATATCGGCTGAGCCTCGAAAATACACATATTTCGGCATTATGAATGCCAACTCATAAACAGACGGCTTGGTCGAGGAGGCAATACTGAGGAATGGTATCCGCATAATAAGCCAGACAGCTGGCAAAATGCAGATTCACCGCCAGATACAGATACAGATACAGATATTCACATGCTGCGATTCCATTTCTCAGCAGTGTGTGCACGGAGATTCTCATTTTGCATGCAAGTTGCATTCATTTGAATTCCTATTTGACTGGTTCGCTTCGGTGAGGACAGAATTTTTTCCGCCGGTAGAATTCTTAATGAAAATGCATGGCCCGACACTTTATTGTTTGTTTTGAAAAACCGTACAATCGTATTTTTGTATATTTCCCTCTTTAAGAATCTGTGATTTGATTTATGTTCCCAATTTACCTGTGAGTGAACATCATAAAACATGAAACACAACCGACCACAATTATTGCTCCTATAGTGCGAGGATCCAATTTTGTGCTTTATTGTTTAGCCCACAAACCAGCAAAATTGGTTTGTTTATCTTGCATTGGCCTACACTTATTCACAGTCGAATCAATTTACAACTTTTCTGTCAATCACAAACCAATCAGTTCAAAATATGAGCGCAATCACACCAGGCCAATTGTGGGTCGTTTTAGTACACTTACGAGTGCACTAAGCGAAAATGGGTGAGTATAATACTCTTAGAAGAGTCCTTACCAGTGAGGGAATTTGCTCATAAACTTATCATAGCTTCAACACAAAATACATTTAAAAAAAAGTTAAACTAATGCTTTTAAATCAATTTCAGATAAATAGAAATTTAGTTAGCTGAGAAGAGTACAAAAAATGTTGCCTAATACCAATGATTGGCTTATGTTTTTTTAATATTGTTAACAACAATTTAGTTTAAGGCAACAGCTTAGCATTTGCTAAAAATTTGTACTGGATTTATTTGTAAAATGAGTATAGGTAGATGAGTCTTGTTATATTTTAGTAGTTACAAATTTTTCTCTTGTTTTATTTATTTCTCATTAGCTACAGCAAATATTTTATATGTTTAAAAATTGCAGTATTAATAACGATATGCATATGTGTTCGGGACACTATATCTAAACATAAACTGCAAATTGTTGGAAAAGAAGTTCTGAGTAGATTTTTTCTCAGTGCTGGGACAGAGGCTCACTTGGGACATTTTGTGGCCTGGACGGCGCCGTGAAGAGCCAGCCAGGCGGTGGAGGTGCTCGACTGGCAGACTGGCAGCTGAATAAACAGCATCAACAACAACTGCAAGGGATCGGATGGGGAATGTGGCCGTGCTGAATACCGTTTCATCGACACTTTTTCATTGAATTCAATTAAAAGCGAAATTGAAAATTGAAATTCAATTAAGATGCTATAAATACGGCAGATGGAGTGGGCTAGGGTGTTAGGGTGTTAGGGTGTCAAACGGGCGCAGAGACGATACAGGATACAGTAAAAGCATTCTCGGATAGAAAGGACTCACACCAATGATGATAGATGAGCTGCCAATGGCGGATGTGAATGTGGATGTGGATGTGGATGTGGATGTGGATGGAAGAGATTCACCATGGCCCTGCCCAATCGATCGATGTGTTGGCTAGGAAGAGGAAACGAGGCTTATGATGTGCCACATACCATTTTTGTTTTATTTTAACTTACTCTTTTGTCTGTTCTTTTTCCTGACATTTAATGGGCCATCAACACGTTGCTTACGCAATTTGATATCTGGGTATTAATGACATATAAATTGATGCTGCAATCAATCATAAATTGGAGCTACCATATGGTGCACGAAGATGATGAAGTCTGGGTGCACAATACACTAATCTGATTAGCCTCATTAGTGGACAACAATATAATAATGTCATACTGGGCATTATTATTTTCATCAAATATTGTCTTTGGGGATCATAATCAATATCGTTATTAAAAACTTGTACGTTAAAGAACGGCAAGCTAAGTGGAAAAGTTTTAAAAATAAATCAGTAATTTATATTCCGTAATGTCACTTGAGCGGAAACGGAAAGTTTGACAACCTCCCGAGATACTTTAAAAAAAATTTAATTTTAAAACTTAACTATTGATGTTTAAAAATTTTAATTATAATTTGTTATTTAAAATAACAATTTACTCTTATATCTATCTATTTTTATACCAATTTTTGTATGCTAAATCCCTTAAAAAAACCTCCTTAATACTTTAATAATTGAGTAACTTTACAATTAAAGTTTACTTTATTCATGTTCAAGTCGATTTTAAGCATAATTATGCAAAAACGGCTGCTGCTTTCAATTATCGCATTAGGTTAGAAACAAAAGAAGAAAGTCAGACGTTTGGCTTTACTCTGTGGAGGATGAACAAAAAAGGCCAAGGGACTTTGGCCAACTTTCTGTCAAGCAAAAGTTTCTGGGTGAAGAAGGTTGAGGTCGTTTGAAACTTTGTTGAGAAAGATGGACTGCAGTGACCTAAAACCAGAGGAGATGCAACGATTGAGTTTCACCAGCTGTTGGGGGGCTTACTTCATATTAAATAGTATTCAACTTTAAAAGTGGTACGAATTATTTGTCAAATATGAAATTGTTTTTGGAAATTTATAGCTACGAATTTGTTTTTTTGATGCCATTTTTAAGGAAGCTAGTTAGACGAAAATTTTGTTTCTGTCTCTCTTTGAGTTCTGGATGCATTGTAATTTCGTTCTACACCTTGTTTTTCGGATTTCTTAATGCGGGCACCTTTGTTGATGAAGATATATACAAAAAATGTAAGTTAGAAAATGCCATAAGAAACAATTTAAAGTTTTCCAAAATGACAGCATTTAAAACTGACATACGGGCGAAATGGTTTAATGTGTTTCATATTGGTCTGATGATTGCAGCTGCTGTTCTGCTGCTAATATCTGTTATGATGGTGAGGCGAATATCCATTCATCGATTACTATTAATTTCTTAACTCGTTTTAGAAACACACAAAGATCGTTTTCGTATGGATGACTATGTATATCATTCACATGGTATCGTACTACATCGTCTTCAATGCAATGATAAACGTTCGCAACCCGTTTCTCCGGACTCCTCTATCTGCATCCATCTATGTCTTGGTTAATGTTTTGACCCTTGGTAAAGTGTATATATAATATCCCTAGCCCCCTCTAATTGTCAAACTTTCTAGCAATAGATATATTTTGGCTGATCATAGTATATTCATATTATTATGTAAAGAAACATCCTGAAGAATTCAGACCGCCATGCATTGACAAATAAACCGCATTAAAAACAACCTTACTATCGATTTGAAATTATGTACAGCAAATTTGTTTTTAAAGGTTATAAAATATAATAATATTTAGATTTGTGCCCTTAACCACATGTTCAGCAAGTGAGAAGACCGTGTGGATAATGATTTTGCTGTGCTAATATGGCAGACTCAATTTTCTTTATAATTTCATTAGCATCTTGATGAGAACTGAAAACGATTCCACGCGTGCCTGTCACACACAAGCACACACAGACCAGAAAATTCTAGGCTAATGCTAATGAGGCCATAATACAAATTGCTTAAATTGAAATTATGCAAAAAAGTTAATACTCATCTCGTTCAAATGGATATGGCGGAAAATGAGAGGGAGGCAATTTCGCTTGAGTTTGACACCAACAGCTGCTCAATAAATCCAACAGTGTTTGCCTGAAACTTCCTCAATGTAAATAAATAACGTATACGCCATGTGGTACTCAAAAAATATTTTTTCACTTGAAAACATTTCTACAGCTTATGTATCATAAAATCTCCAAAATACAATTGTGCATTTGCATAAATAAATAAATTTTTTGATAAGTTAATTTTGCATTTACTGTCAAAAACATTTCAAAACATGTTTTGGGCCAAAAAATGTTGCTTCTGTATATCTTTGCAAACGGGATGTATCATAATTGCACTGCTTGGATTATTTTTGTCCGGCATGAACATTGACTATACTCTATACCTCTTGAATAGTAATAGCCACCAACATAAATAATATATTTTTTTGTACTAATTCTATTAATTTAATAGGCACTCATACCCGAGAAACCCAATATAAATTTCCAGGTAACATACAAAAATATTATATGAATTGAATTGACTTAATTTGGTTTTGTTAATTACATTTAAAATAAAGCGGAAGTACTCTACACATCTTTACAAATAATTCCGGATTGTTTGTCTGTCTTGGCATCGTGTTTGCTGATATTTGCAATCATCTCGGTATGTACTCCTGAAAAATATAGCCACTTGGTAATAAAATAAATATATTTAGCAATATTTATGGCTGTTTTGGATCACTCTGTTTTTCCAAACTCTTCAGGCAATATATCTGGTTACATTTAGTATTGTTTCTTCTTTAATCGGATCAAATTTAATAATAAATGAGAGCTTTTGGCACAACATAACTTATTGGGTGTATGTGATACTTTGGCTGGGTAAGATTATCGTTTTATGACCATATATAAATAATTAATTTTTTCTTTATTTAGCACTGACATTATATTTCATGTACATAATCTATTCGTATTATCGACAACTAAAGGAGGGAGAAATTGAAAATGCTATAGAATGATTTATGCCTTATATTTTGTAATATTTGGCTTGCTCAACATGTAATTTGTAAAACCTAAAAAGACTAGCTAAATTTATATCTGTAACTATATTTCATTGAATGTGTCGTCATTTTCACATACACGGAAATTAAAAATAAAAATAAACATTTTAAAAAATTAGTAAATGAAATGTGGCTTGCCAATAAGTTTTGCTGTTGTATAAATTTACAAATCGGCTGTACTATTATATCTTTTTTTACCCTTTGCCTTTTTGCCGTTCACCTGGTAGAATTCTTTCGTAAATATCCTATCTTAGCCTTTATTAATATAATTTCTGTTATTAAATACCCAGTTATTTATTGCAGGATTTAAAGAACATAATGATTATACTCATCCATCAGGTAATCAACTATTGAAAAAGTGTTATTTGTTTGTTTAAGCAAGTACCAAAACCCAACCAATGTTTTTATTTGATTTTCTAATTTTTGCTGTTTTTCAGACTGGTTAAACCTTCTTTGGGGAATTTTGCATTTGCTGGCTTCAATGTGTTTATCATATTCTGTCCTGGTGGTAAGTACTAAGAAGTAAGCTATTTACATGAAAGTTCATTCACATATTGTAAATTTGTAGGGGTCACTTATTCCTATTTGGGTTTACATAATTATCGAGGTAATTTACTTGATTTACGTGATCATTTATGCATCAGTGTCGTGTGCTCTGAAGACAAACACATATGCGAACCTAGGCCTGAATTACTGTATTACGTACTGGAGTTTAATTGTCTTAACGTTCGGTAAGTTAGACAATATCTATGAGGCCCAGTGATGCTAATCATAAAACTCTTTTAATAGTAATAATAACATATTTCCTTTATGTTGTAAGTTCATATTATTTACTAAAAAGGCAACAACTCATTGCTGCAAGTCACCATGTATAAGGAAATTCAGTAACTAAATATAAAAAACTATTTTAATCATATTCTTTCAAACCTCTCAACAGTTAAAATTATTATTATCAAATACGCTTTTAAAACGTTTCAATTCGGACTTTAGCTTTAGCCATGTAAATACATATTGGAAGATTTTCAAGTAGGCTAAGAAAAAATTTCATGTCACTTTTCAATCAGTTTAAAATAAATTCACAAAATGATATGTATTCTTGTTATATTACTATACATTTCTTCTGTTTCGGGAGAAATCGTCGCGTCTACAATTGGTAACCCGGATTACTATAGAGGTAAATTAATAAAATCTTAGTCAGATTCAGGCCAATGACATTTTATTACAAAGCTCAAGCCAAATTAAAGTTTCCTGTCTGTGGAAAATGTTCAGATACAGAAAACTTTCTATTTCAAAGCACTACTGGTTTCTATTGCCATTCCGAAGATGGGTCAGCCGTTGAATACGCAATCGGAAAACCAGCAAATACAATTTCCAGATGTGTGCCACCTAAAATTAACGTAACTAGTGAGTATGCAAAGTATACGACAACATTAGTTTTCAACCTTGACCATTCAATAATAGGAAAAATAAGACAGTATTGTTGCTTTTGGTCGCCTGAGTTGGGATGTACAGCGCTAATTGGTAGAAAATACTACGACAGAAAGCTATACAACTGCGAATACTGCCAAGAATATTGCGGTGGATATAAGAGTGATCTTGCTAATCATGACGACGACGGAAATAAAGTTAACAAGATATCGGGATGTGTCTTTTTAACTGCGCTAGCTATTTTTGTACTCCTGATATGCACTAATTAACAAATCAATTACTATGTATTTGTAGTGACAGTATCTTGTTTAAATAAAATCCTATATACCTTTTAGAAAGCTTTAATTTCAAAGTATATAATGAAAAACAGAAACCTTTGACAACTCTAGGTACCCAAAGCTATTTCTCTCAAAATTCGTCAAACTGTTTTTTCAAATTTCCTAGAATGAAATGAAACTGCTAATACTACTTTTATTCTCGAGTTTGGTTCAAGGACTAAACGCTTTAAATAATAGTATGCGCAATAAACTTGCTTATTTTGAACAAAATAGCCATATAAAGTTTTCCAGGTTGTATATCTTGTTCAATGATCAAAAACAATCACGGCCAGCACACTGGTCACCAGTGTCATCATGCTGATCAATTGGCCATAACCGACAATTCCAAAATGTTTCAAAATGAATTTCCGCAATGCGTGCCAAATGAGTATGAGATAAATGGTAGGTCTGCAATCTTATATATGAATATATATATAGACTCTCCTGTTTCAGGAGGAATCACTGAATACTGCTGCTTTTGGTCGCCGGAATTGGGCTGTTCAGTACTATTTGCAGCAAAATTGGGTGAAGATCATTTAAAGGCCTGCACTCGGTGTCGTGCGTATTGCTTTGGGCCAAATAACCATGATGGCGAAGACAAAATACATAAGAATTCAGGACACGTTAGATCAATGGACATGGCGGTTGTTTTGCTACTTCTCACTTTATCAATTTTTCTCCTAAATGGGATGTTGCAATGGAATTTTATTGAAATGTAATTATTTTCGAATTGTAATGTAATAAACAAAGCAAAAACAATAAAAAACTTTTGCTACCCCAAAAATTGAAAAAAACAACTTTGACATCTAAAAAATTAAAGTCCTTTCTCTCAAAATATGTCGAACAGATTTTCAAAATTTTATCTAATGAAATTGTATATACTCGTGCTACTTTTCTTAATTTGTTTATTTGCTTAAACAATATTCTTAATATAAGCAACACACCATAGGGTTTGAAAATTATTCATTTATAGGAAATGATCACGGCTGTTCAACAGGATGCCAGTGTCTTTTGAAGATGGTTCAGCAGTTAGAAAAAAATTTGGATCTAGTGAAAATGTATTACCGAAATGCGTGCCAAACAAGTGTAAGTTATCACGTAAGTTTGCAATGGAAAACTTGCCCTCAGTTTAGTTTTAGGTGAAATAAGCTAATTATAAAGGAAATTGGGCCTGCAGTTTGTGCTGGTAATTTTGCACCTTGCAGCCAGAGAAAATGAGAGTACAATTCTACTCAGAGGAAAGGATTTAAATAATAAAGTAGGATGTTTTCAGTGAAGTGATTGTTATAAGGAAAGGAGTGGTGCAAGGAATATGAACTTTAGACATAATTTCATAATCGGACTTTCGCTGGTTGTCTTCACTTTTATTTACTTTCAGACGTAGGACTTAAATTCCAATATAATGTTGAAAGTATTTCTTGATAATTACAGTCTTCAAACTCAAAGTACAAACTCTACTTAAGTTTGACTTTAGACTTTTCAACTTATCCAAGTACAAGCTAATCAAAAATTAATAGTAAAAGTAACTGTTTTGTCATCATTATTATTGCTGTCATTATGAACTAAGCCAGAGCGGGGTAAATTTAATTAAAACAACAAACGCGCGATGGGCCAAGAAAAGCAGCCATCGGGTGGAAATTGGAAGTGGAAATGGGCAGAGCCTGATGTTATCGTGACAAGCCCAAATTAAGTAGCGCACGGGGTTACATCAGCCAGCCAGGGGATAAAATGGGCGGGGTACGCAAGGAATCGGGGTTGGGCAATTCAATTTAAAGACCAAACCAAGGCAACCAGCGAAAACGAACACGACCTTGAGCTGACCAAAATATGAACGGCAACTGAGCCCGAGGCTCATTTAATAGACCAGAACCAAAAATTATAATACAGTCGACATTCGAAAAGGCACTTCATCGCAACCAATAAAATACATTTATTTTAGGTACGTTCGACAAAAAGCTTAGGAAAGGATGACAGAAGTACTGACCAACAAAATAAATAAAATAACTCAAAAGAATTGTTTTACACTTTTTGGGAAAAACTTTGAAAAATGATGTGTTACAATGCAAATGTATTTTTAAAAAGATATGTATTTAAACTGGCCTCGAAAATGTTCCTGTGTTTCACCTCAAATCATTTTATTCATTTTTAAGCCATTCGTTTACATAAAATATTAAAACGGTAATTTTAAAATTATTTCCTAGCTCTGAAAAGTAGGCAATAGTTATTTCGAATTAAGTGTGAATGTCATTAAAAGAAAACCGAAAAGGATCACACCCAAAGTCGGACTTTGACACAGCCTTTGTTTTTGCTAAACATTTTTTTATTCAAAAGAGAATAAATGATACAAATAGTTTTTTTAATATATTAATATATATGAAATGTAATCGTGATAGCTCTGCTAAGGAAGTTCCACTGTGTACAGAATGTTCGCTTTGTGAAACTAATTTGATTTAAAGAAGCTTTTCCCATTCAAGGATTAGCAGTGCTTTTCACACTCACCCGTGGTTCCATTTTCTTGCTCGCTCAAATCGGCCAGTGACGCCGAAAGGGCCTCCGCCATCTTAGCCGCCGATGATGTCATCGTCTTTGGTTGCGCTGCATTTCCACCGGCCTTAACAATCAGATTCGTTGCATTTGTGCCATTTTCCGTTTTCGCAGATTCCGCATTGCGATTTACCATGGCGGAACTCGGTGGGCGGGAAAGCGGCAGTGGCACTCCTCACAGCCGCCAGCTGCGCGTCCTGATTGCCTCACCCCGGCTGAAAGTCCTACTGATTTGTGTTCCTGGGCATCCAACACTTGTTGCCGCCCAGCTTGCTTCCGTGCGGAAATGGAAATCGAGAAAGCAAACTGAAGCGAAAAGGAGCGGAAAACGAGAGTTTTGGTTCAGTTTGAGTGCTTTCCTTCCGAAACATAAGTGAAGTTGTGTAAAATAAATTTGTTATTAAATGGGTTGTATTTAAGGTGAATTTACATATATAAACAAAAAAAAACCAAGGAACTTGTAAGATGGATATTATATTAGGTGCATAGCTGGTTATTGGTAAAGAAAGATTTTCTTTAAAATAATGAATTACCATGTTTGAATAACAAAAACACCACTAAACAAGGTAAAAAATTCGTGACGATCGCACCTTCAACATATAAAATATTTGATACCAAATTTTGTGACCAATTATGTTAAGGCTCCGTGATTAGCATTTGACAATAACTTTTTAATGACATATATAACTTGTCTGTACCTTAACTAAAGGTATCCCAAGATTTCCCTCTTCCAATTAAAATAAATCTCAGTTGCTTACTATACTGTTAGCTATATAAACTCAAAAGGAATTGCAAGATGCTGGCAGTAAGAACAAGTGACAGCTTCGAACTTATTGTTCATTTTGTTTGATGTTGTTAAATGTTGTTTCTAGACCCCAGCATTTTCATTTTCCTAACGTATTTCAACGTCGCTTCTATTGGCAGTTGTTTGTACAAAGAAACCGTGTATGCCTCTGTATGTAAATATGTTTTGCTTTTGTGGGCTTCGCTTGAAAGTGTCTATGCAGCAATTAGAAAAGTTCTCAGCCAAGGCACTTCAGAACACAACAAAAGTAACTTTTTCTTTAGCCCAGCTTAAGAAGATAATATTACACTTAAAAGAAAGTGAATTTCTAAAATTTTATGTTATTTAAAAGGAGTGTAAAAAACTTTAATAATTTAAGTAAACCTCTTTTCAGAATGAGTAATTTTAAGTCGTAAAACACTCTAGTTAAAATATGCAAAATTTCAAAATGTTGAATAATTAAAGTAATATTTTTTGAAGAACATTTTAAGAAATATATAAAGAACAATTTGGTAATTGATTTTTCAATATTTTGAAAATAAATTTTATTTCTTTTTGGATTTAGATTTTCTTAACATCTGTGCACTGTTCAGCAAATGTCAGTATGTCAAGTCGATTCGGGAGAAGTTCTCTCATATCCTTAAGGCATGCGACATGCGACATTCCCTTCGTCCCTTCGTTTTTCCTCTTTTCACGTTTTCCAACGACTGGGAAAAAAGTTTTTTTCTTTTGTCAAGCTACGAAACTAACTACACTTTGGCGCCACCGTTGTTCATTCAAGTTGGTAAAAGTTTCTCCTACTCAGAATTGCTCAACGTTTTTGCTTGGCAGTTTACGGTAGCTTCTTTCGGCCAAGTTAAATTGTGTCAGTTTAATTCGAAGTGGAGCGAAGTGGAACGTAAATAAACTCTGGATTGCAAGAATCGACTACTAAAGTCAACCAAAGCAAAAACAGAATTAAATTACTTCGCTGAACTTAACGTTTTAGAAATTAAACACGTACTCTTTAGTATCTGCTTTCTTTAAATGGAAATCGCTTACAATTATACAAACATATAATTATTATAAACAAAAGTCAAACATTATTTATTATTATTGCACTTTTAAGACAGCTGGGTTAAACTAAGCAGTGAGGTCTAGGTATGAGTAAGTTTTAAAAAAATATATTAATGTCAAACGGAAATCATTAATACTTGTTATTAAAAATACATTTAATTTCGGAAAAATACTTTAACGGGAACTGAAAGGTTTTACTTATACACATATTTTTAGGAATATAATTAAACATAAGTACTTATACACACGTTTTTGTGGATCAACAGATCTTAATATAACTTTTTACTTGGATAACCGGTTAGCTTAACTATTTCTTATAATAATTTTTAATCTCGACCCATAATTATCTAGACTTTTTGTTTACTTTTAGCAATCTTTTAAAGTCATGTACTATTTTGAATGGTTCTTTATTTAAAAGCCTTAAAATTTTAAAAATTTTTGATAACTATACCTATCATATTGATATTAGCAATTGTACTTCTGAAATTTATATTTTCTTTCGAACAACTAATCGGTATATTTAATGTCTATTTCATAGGTCAAAAGCTGCAGAGACTACTTCTATAATTCGTAAGCTATTTTCATTTAATTTGGCCTTGCTCAAAGACCTTAGATGTGGCATATAATAGCGCCACTGATAAGCCTCAAGTCCAACCCCAATTCATTGTCATTTTCACCTCAGTCCCGCTTTAATTTTGTTGTGGACACTTGTGGAATTTCGCATTTGTAAGCGGGCAGCCAGGGAAACCAGGCAGAGGCGACCACGCGTTTGACCCCTGACAACGGAGCACAAAAAGCGACGGGGGCATTCGCTGAAAAACTACTCATAAATAAATATACGGAGATCCATTCCATTGTTGTGCTCAGTCGCATTTTACCGGACTCGGATGGGTTCTCATTTCTTTTTTGAATTGTTTTGTTTGGCTTTGCTCGCCGGTTCGTGTGTACGCTTTCTGTTTTCCTTTTTTTTTTTTTAGTTTAAGAGGGTTTGTTTACGCTTTGCCATTGCCGAGAGGGGTGCTTCAGTTTAGTGCAGCCGTGGTGGGAAAATAAAACGAAATGGAAATAAATAAACAAAACCGTTTTGCAGTCTGCTTAAATTCAAATAAAGATTAGGTTGAGTTTGGTATATGATTTTTGCAAATTTTCAACTGCAGTTGGCTCAACTCACAATACTTTTGATGTTTAAGAAAATTTAATTTTTTATCTATACTATTATTCCTGGTTTTAGTTTAGTTTTAGTTTTGTTTATTTTGAACAGAAAAAAAGGAAACTGATAAGACAAACAAAACTATTTCTGGGAATCTTAAATTTGCATAAAAGTTGCTTTGTTTACATTTTATTCTTTAAAGCATACTTATTTTATATAATTAGTTGAAGTTTGATTTTGGTTATAAGTATATCATCATATCAGTTTTAGTCTTTTAATTTTAAGCTAAATATAAAAAAAATCATGAAACGAACAAAATAGAGTATAAGAAACAGGTTTAAATAGCGCAAAGAGCATATTTATAAAATACAACGATATATTTCTTCATTTTAAGGTATTTTCCTTCAAAGGAAAACCACTGACCGAAAAATGTTTTTTTGAAACTATTAAATAAAATTATAAGAACATAAAGTTTTGTAGTTTCCTTTAAAATTTTGTAAACGAACTTTGCTCAAATGCTTGTTCCACAAGCCTTTAGCAACCAGCTTCTAATTTCCCTGAGTAAACATTTTATAAATTATCTGCAGCCATAAGCCATAAATATGGCTGTGTAATGTGCATTTCCTTGAAAATCTGCATTGCCATATTTTTATAGCTAGCCGGCGAACGTGGCGGATGAGCAATCTCATTCGCACTTGCTAATACTTCGCTCTCGTTCTCTGGAGAATGCACTGAAAGCGAGGGCGTATCTTTCTCGTCAGCCAATTATCATAATTTTTGCACTTAACTCATTATCATAATTATCATCTTCTGAACTGGTGAGGCAACAGACTGGGACGAACGGAAACTCATAAATTTGCCCCCTATTTTTTTTTTTATTTTTATTTGTGCCTTTCGATCGCCACGTTTATTGCAATTTTAAAGGTACACCAATTTTTATGCGTTTTCATCCGCAGTATATAAAAATGTGTGTTAATATTTTCTGTGACGTCGTCTGTTTGCTAGCCGCGGGCATTTATCACACAAAAATTCCCCATATTCCCATTCAAGCCCGCAGCTATTTTATTTTTTTTTTCCTTTAATAAATATTTATATATGTACTATAGCATTTGCCCAAAGAACCTCGTGTTCTTTGAACGATGAGCTTCCAGTTCTGTGTTTGTTGTTTGAAATTGATTAAAGTAACCCCCAACCATCAATCCATAAAAACGACGCTTATTGCCCAAACAATTGTACACAGAAAAAACATCACTAGCCTAAATAACTATTGTGATGTAGATATCATTTTTTTTAAACCTTCTTGATACATTAATATTTAAAGTTAATGTGATATTGCCTTTACAATCGCCTAGTTTATTAAAAAATATTATTAATTTGTTAATTTAATTGTTTTCTGCTGTCAAATAATAATTGCGATATTTTTAGAAATTCAAGTCCTCTGCCTTTTTAAAAAACTTTTCACTAAATTTTCACAAACTTTTGACCAAAACAAAAATTTGAAACAAAATATTTAATAACAAAATTTTTTCGCAAGTCAAATAGAAAATAAGTCAAATACTATTATTATGCAATATTGGAAACTTTTTTAAATCTAAAGAAATTAAGAGAACAATTCTCTATACATTTTTTCTAGCTGTATGCTTTATTGAATAAGCGTCTTTGCAAGTGTTAGTGTGTCAATGGGTTTTTTCAGTGTCCGTTCATACGTTTGTGTGTCTGTTTTTTGTATCTTTGACTTTGATCGCGCATGATTAATGATTACGCCTGTGTTTATTGCCATCGGGTTTCGATGAGTTGGGGGTGATAAAAGTTTTCTTTCCGCCGCTTTCGATGCCCAGCGTGTCTCTCATATTTCAACTCGAACACCTCCTCCCGGTGGGCTGATGGGAATGGGAAGTATTATATCCGTTCGTTTGTCATCATTTATATATAATTGGACAATCTTGGCCCACGACATACATCACATTGAAGATGGAGGTGTTAAAGATGAATATATACAAAAAGATGTTGGTGATTAAAAATGAAGAACATCTGAATAACTCATCATTGTTAGATACGTTGCGCAAATCAGTTTAATTAAAATAGATACAAATTCTTGTAAATACCATTAATTTTGATTAAAAAATCTAAATCTTTCACACATTCTCATCATCTCTGTTTTATGTTCTTATCAACAAAGGGTCATCTGCAAATTTGCTTATGTTAAAGCATTTGTTGAAATGGTCATAAAACTGAGCATCTGTTTATGAGCAAAACTAAGTACTTAGGAATCCTAGGGTCCAGAACCTTGAATACCCTTTCCGATCCACAATTTCT